TATAAAGTAGCCTTCATCTAGTTGAACTCATATACCTAATTTATGTCATAATGCAATAAAATCTGTTTTACTGAGATTTGGGTAATCTGTGCCTTAAATATTCAATTGCGCTTCCCAATTACTGACACTGACCCTGGTCTCTCTGCTTCCTGTGCCAAACTATTGGACCAGTACGGTTATGGCTGATCTTATTAACCACTAGTAAGGTGTATCTGATGTAGAGATTGGGCCCAGTGTCGCTGCTAGGAAGCTTAGTTATTTGCAATTTAAAGAAGGTTTTTTGGGGTCCCAGTGTGCAATACAGTAGATCCTAGGAAATTTGCAGGCATGTGGGCACTGGCCGAATTTTGATTCATGTGTGGCCACTCCTGCTCAACAGAAGTTGATCTAACAATTGTCTTCTATCAAACTGGGAATATTGGAAACAATTTCTTGATTAGCCAATGGGCAGCAGCCACTAGTCAGTGTATTCTAACAGTAAAGAGTCCCCTCTGTCAGAATACAATGCCCCAGAGGGAAGGATTCAACTAGTAACCTCGCTGTGTATGGAAGAATTAGCTTTTCTTTTTCTTTTGATCAGCCTGCTGGCTAAAAGAAAGAAAATTGATCCACCTTTGGCCAGTCTTACAGAGAAGGTACAAAGGTTTTAGAGGCATGCATAGGTACAACAAAGACATCCATTAACAGATACAGTTAATGTATGTTGTAGCCTGCTGGCTTATAAAAAAAGAAAAAAGAAAAATCTATGGCCAGCTTCCGTGGTGCTTTTTTTCCACCTTGAACATTACTATATGGATCTGTGTGGAGTATTTTTTATGTCTATCTTTACTACACAACACATGCTTTTGTTGTTAACAAGTAATTCCCAATGAATCATTTAAAAAAGGTATATGAGGAATAATTGAATACTAGAGAACAATTGGGCTATATCTTGTAATATAAGTATACTGTATATTGAGTTGAATACTAGAGAACAATTGGGGCTATGTCTAGAACTATAATGCATTAAGCAGGATGGTCTAGGTATGGCAAACCAAGAAAATGTATCTTAAATAATAAAAAAAATATTAATAATAATTTTATCTCTAGGATGAAAAATAAACATGGCTTAGTAGTAACCTCAGAAGAGGATATAGAATGTGTACCTAGAGAATTCTATACACATTTTTCAATAAGTCAAACCTTTTCAATGATCACAATAAAGAACAATTTTGGACCCAATGTGAATTTAAAAAATTTAGACACTAGTCAGTTAGAAACTTAAATGGTAACATAAGACAACAAGAAGTGAGATCTATAACAAATATTTCTGATTTCAAGAATTTGGAACCACATGGATATAGTTCAGAAGAATATATCATGCTAAACAGTGAGATAGTGCCCAGTCTAACTGATATGTATAATTCATTTTTTTTTCTTGAAGGAAAACTACTACCACTATTGTCATACGCTGTGGAGTATGGTATAAAGGGCAAATAGAAATGACTGTAAATGTACTGTATTGAGGTACATTGATACAGGTCATTTCCAAGTATCTATCTAGATATAAACACTTCAATCATGTAGTATTTGATGGCAGTATATCTACTAATCTCAATATGACTGTATCTAGAGTCACCACAGTATACTTATAAAAAGCAAAAGAGGTGAGGAAAATTAGGTAGGGAGAATAAGAGGAAGTCTGGAATGAAGGAATGGAGGGGGAAGGAAAAACAAAAAAAAGGGAAAAAGATGGGACATTAGGAAATTATCCTACCCAACCCACCATGACCAGGATGATGTGGAAATTAATTCATAGTGACATCATATCAGAATCTCAGAGCATTTCCAATGTTCATTTAGCTAAGGCAGAGCTCTGAAGGGATTGCCAGTGGAGAGGAGGCTCATAATCTTGAAGTGGAACCACTTGCTTCTTTAGAAAGTAATATCCTGGTATATTCTTGGGAATTAAAACAGTGAATGTTCTGTTTTATGCAAATAATTGGTTTGTACATCTCTGAACCAATCTGATATCTAAATCATAGACCTGCTTGAAAGTGTCAGGTCTTTTGCAGGGTATAACATTAAATCAGAATATTCATGGGTAGGTAGGAACAGTGGGTATATCCCTACTGATAGAGAATGCACACAAAGATTTAATTATACTAATAAATTTGAGAAGATATATACTGTAGTTACCCACCTCCCCTCCCACTACAGACTCTGTGCTTAAACTAGTAAAGGATTGGGAATGGTTACCATTTTGTATAACTGGGCAAGTTAGTATAATAAAATCTAACATATTACAATGATTGGTGTACTTAATGCAATCCCCATAACTTTCCCTTAATACAAAGAATTTGTAAAAAAGAAATGAGAAATTAGATGGTTTTGTGGATAGGAAAAAAATAATTAATGGTTTAATTTTGAATTCCAAGCAGATTTGTTTGGGGCTCCCAATATTGAATGCTATAATGCTGATGCCTTGATCAGACTTGCCTTGGTCAGACTTGGCTTTTGATAAATTACCTGGACTTAGAAATACAATTAGCTGAGGCATTTTGAACAAAAAAAAAAAAAAAAACATATACTGTATAACAATGGATACTGAGGTGTGAAAAATCAATGCTATAAACATCAACATTACAGACACAAATTTTTTTTTTGCTTTATTTCATATATTTCACCAAAATAATCACTGTTAATAAAAAGTACTGTTAATAAAGAGAGAAAAAGCAGGCTCAAGCATATGCATAGTCCTGTATGACAAAACTGCTGATGAGAATTCAGCAAAGAACATGAACATGAGCTTGAACACGCACCTTATTATTCCATATCATTTTTTAGATCTTTGCAATACATGATACAATAATTCCAAAAGCATCATGGCAATATACTATACACACCTCATCTGAAGTCTTATGCTAACACATAAACATTAAATACACATATATGAACATCTTAGTGCCTTGTACCCCAGGAGAAGGGGGGGGGAAAGATGAAAAATAAATATTCATAAAAGCACAGCTGGGAAAAAATTCCCCTCCAGATGCAATATAAACCAGAAATTGCAGATACAGAAGCCCCCAAAGACTTACATCCAGACTGCAAGAATGTGGACAGAAATGTAAACTTGGTGTCTCCAGTGCTTTACCAGGGAGAAAAAGAAAGGCTCAATTGCACCCTTCTTCTTATATTTCCAAACAAACATCCACATCACATGTCTGCAGAGGTGAAGACATCACTGACGTAGAGCACAAGTGATGCATGTATAGATGGAAGTATGCATAGGGATGTAAATCTGTACCTGGGAAGGTAGAAGAGCACAATTTTTCCTAGACACAGACCGGTCAATGTACTTGTGTCATGTGACACAGGTATATTGACGACATCCTTGTCATATGGACGGGTATGGATGTGAATCAATACTGATAGAGTTTATGACTAAGTTAAAAATCAATGATTTTAATTTACTTTCATTGTCAATTTTGGTAGAGACAAGATCTCATTTTCAGACCTGGTTTTCTATTTTAACTGAAAAAAATTATTAATATATCGTCATTTAAAAAAAAGACACCCACAAATTGCCTTTACATACATTTAGCACTCATTCTAATATTTTAATAAATCAATATATTATAGCCAGAACCTTAGACTTTGATGAAATAGCTCAAATAACCAAGACTTTAGGAAAATAGAAGGATAAACTACTATAACAGGCTTAGATGTAGAAGCTATAGTAGTAGAACATTGAAGAAAGCATATTTATGAGCCACAATCCAGAACAGGAAAGCTCTTATATTTAAAAACAAGTAATTGTTTTTAAAAATATTGTTTGCTTCATTAGCTTAGCAGGTAATTATATTGTGGGCATATAAAAACACTGCTCAAAAGTTCAAATGCAATAATTGAGGTTCAAAATATGCCATTTGTTCTATCCGATTATTTCAGGTTTATGGTAGGATACGAAGCAAACTAAGGCTAAAAAAAACCAGATACATCTTGCTGTAGAGCAAAACAAAGGATCAATTAGTCTATGGAATCACGCTTCTACTTACAGCTCTAATACCAAAAAGAGTGAGAAGGTGATACTGGCATGGCCATTGCTGATGGTTGTTTGACTAGTAAACTGAGCTACAGCTTTCAGTACTTTCTGAGTCACTGACCTGTTTCATACGATTTTTCAGGTCAGTAACTAAAAGCAGTGAAGCAAGACCGTAAGCATTTTTCAGGAAATGTCTTTAGTGAAAGGAAATAAATTTGACTAACCTTGGTGTGTCTAGTTTTGGGGGGAATGAAAGCACTGTAGGCCAGTATAGGTGTACTGCATTGTACAGTGCTGCAAGTATAGAAAATGAAGCTTACTGGTTGGAGGATGGAGCAGAGAGGTAGGTGATTTTATCAGTGAGCTGTTTATCCTTTACATCCAATCACAGTCTTAGCCCCTTGACCAGACCGAATTGCTTTGACAGCAGTAAATGATAAAGATATGGCTTAGAGGTTTGGCAGGGTTGTCTGAATTAGCCAGAAAGGCTGATATGAAATTCTTGCTGTCTCAGCTTTGGGAGCAGCAGCCCTGGAACTGGAAGCCCTGCCTGTGGCTGAGGCTACCTGTCAGTGGAGCTGGGATGGATGAGTCAGGGGATTAAGATTGCACCCTAAGTGAGCAGCTAGGTTTGTAGGTTGGGAGGGGATTTTTTTTTTGTGTGTTTTTGGTATCTGGAAGTGAGGGCCACTAGTCAGGCAAAATGCTTCAGTTGAAGTTTTTGAATGCTTTCTGTTAATTATTGGAAAAAGACATTAAAAGTGAGTTATATATCCTAAAACTGACAATTAGGTCTGGAGTTACTGGTATGCTCTTGTTATAATTTGAGAATGCTGAAAGGTGTGTTTACAACTGTGTGCTAAGGTTCTTGCTATACATGCTTCCCAGATATAAAAATAAAATTACATAAATGACAAATACTGTAAATGTTTTAGATAGCCATATATTCATATCCCAAACATTTAATTGGTGTTACCTTGTATACTTCGTTTGAAGAAAGCCTTACAGCCCTCACATGACCAGACTCCATAATGATACCCAGATGCATAGTCACTACACACGGCACAGTATCGAGTCTCTTTGCTGGATTCCATTGTTGGTGTTCCCTTATCAATAGTTCCAGTTATCCGATCTCTTCCAGTCTGGCGTCTGCTGTCTGAACCTGATCTGGAAGAATAATATGTACATTTTTATTAGTAAAAACAGCTTTAGGCAGGCAGATATGAAAAAGAGCATTGAGGAAAATTATGTAACTGGATCTTTTTAAGAAACTAGCTGGCAATTTGTGAGAAATGACATGTGAACTGGATACAATGATCTCAATGAGCCTCTATGAAGCACAAAGCTGCCCACGTAAGTTCCAAGCTGCCAATGGACATGATCTGCTGCCCCTCTGCAATCTATAGGCTGAATTAAATGTGTTAATTGCTCAGCACAGGAAGGGGTAACATTATATGCTTATAAGATAAGCACATCCTAAATAATGCAAAGGAAAGTGAAAAGTAAATAGAGACTGGTCTATTATATTTTTAGCTGTACAAGACTTACGTACACTGTAACCATAGAAGCCTTCAAAATATATCACTCCCTGGGTGACATTTACAAATGAAAATGCTGTAGGGGTGAGTTTAGATGAAACTGTCAATCCCCAGAGATCACCAAGGGGCTAGTGATGGCAAAGCTGAAGGTTTTCAGGGCTTTGGAACCTTCTAAGAGATCACACACTTGCAAAAAGCTGAAAGAATATCTAGGCAATAAACAGAGAATTACAGATTCTCTATAAGAATGGCCAATTTCTCTTTTAGAAAACTGATCCTTCACATAGTTTCAGCCTAACTGTAAATTCACACTTCAATCCAGTCATATAATTATTCCAAATATTTAAAAATAATTGCCTTAAATCTGTTTTTATATTTTTGCCATTTCATTCCGTGCCATCAGACGTAAGACTTTAAGTGACTTGGGCATGGAAGCCATAGTTTGAGGTAATTGTTTGGTTTATATAATGAAGCTTTGCTGATGTCTATCATCCAATCATGTAGAAACAAAAATACTGTTTTTTTTTCTTGCAAATGATTGGGTGCAAGTGAAAATTCCCTTGCAAAGTAAACAACCTATTTGCCTTTAGTAAATCAACCCCTTAAAGTGTGAATTTGTGTTTTTCCCATGCGGGGCAAGCAACAAATTACATTTAATGCCTCAATGCCCAGCTTTATATACTTACTTTCCTTTCAATCCCTCAATGTTCTATTTAGTCACCATGAGGGACAGGAAGTTCCAGTGTAAGCTATGAACCACCATAGTCATAGCGTAGATGTAGCTTAGGTCTCCCCAGGATACTGATGTTAGAGCTGTCTCATGCAATGTGTTAAATGCTCCTTCATACCAGGTATTTCCTTTGGCTTCCAAAAAAGAGTGGCAGTGGAGCAAAGGAAAATTAGGTGTGGTAGGTACAGTATGTGAAGCTGAGTTTGGGGTATTGAAGCAAAAATGTTGCTTTGCTAGAATAGGAGATGTTTGTTTAGGGAGCATGCACAAAGCAACCTCTGTCATCAGCATGCTTACATTGTGTCCCTCTCTTTTCCAAACATACCACAATAATTTCCTCAGGAAGGAGTTTTCATACAAAGCCCATCTGCCTTGCCTATCCATAGGGCCCCCTTGTGACAACTTTGCCTGTGAAAGTGACCAGGATCATTTAGGCTGCACAGTCTTTTAAAGAACAAAGGATGACAATCTGTGGCAATGTCTATTGAGAACAAACACTACTTAAACATAACTGAGCTGGGATTAGTGAAAGATAACAAAAACAGCTGGGTCACACCTCTATCCCTCAGACTACACAGGCAATGTCGACCTAATAGTGAACAAGTACTGAAATGTTTCTCTTATTTTAGATGTAATTTCTAAAGAAAGCCAGAGATGAGAGACCAATTTTTTACTTTCATGGAGAAAATCTTTATGAATGGTAATGCAGAAAAACTCTTCCTTTCTTAGGGACTCCAAAAAATGTTGGTACCTACCAGTATGTGGAGAATAAAAGTCAGGTCAGATTAAAAAAGTGTTGACTCCAGTGCCAAGTGTAAGAGTATCTCCATTTAGACAGGTCCAGACCTTAATAACAAACATCTGGGAGTGCTTTTCTGATTTTGCAGGTACTTTTGCTTTCATAGCTAACATCCAACAGATGTTTCATTGCTTCTTTGTTAGAGAGAAAGATAGAAGCTTCTTAAGATTTCTTTGGTTCAGAGACAATGATCACATAACATAGACACCATAGAGAAATATATGATAGAGTACTTGCTAAAGGGACACTTCTTGATAAAGTTGGCATTTTGTTCAAGAGGCTAAGATGGCTCAGATTCTTTACAAATGATAGAGAAGGATTTCTATGTGGATGACTTTGAATTCCAATGACTCCACAAACAGTATCCTCAAAAGAGCACAGGAAATTCTTCCCTGCTCAAGCCTCTGGCTTCACAATATTGCTCCCAAGAGCACAGAAGAAATGGAAGCTTTCCTTCCCAAGACCACTCTAAAGTGGTTCTGAATGCAGGACATTTTATTACCTTAATGCATTCCCTGTCTTAAAGTAAAAATGCCCCAGTATTTGTATTGCCCCTCCCCCCACCAACCTGCCGAAATAATTACCTGTGTCTTATCTCACTCCAACACTGTGCAGCACTGCTCTCTCTTCCTCTGCTCACAGGACTAAGTGAGAGCAGTGGAAGCTATTTGCTCTTGCTGAAAAAAAAAAAAAATACTGTGATCGGGGGGGATGGGGGGAGTGTCAGAGCTGCTCTGTGTGTGTGTCTATGAATGCAAACAGCCCGGCTTGGGGGCAAGCCCACAGGTTTGCCCCCATAGGCAGTGGCTTCTGTGGTGGTGGGCAGAGAAAAGGAGTGCCTAGAGGGCTGGTCGGGGGTCCCAGAAGAGGAGGATCAGGGCCACTCTGTGCAATAACATTGCACAGATCAGATAATTATAACATGGTTGTTACTTAAGGAAAAAAAAAAAATGGGACTTGAAATCCAATTCTTTTACCTTTCAAAAATGTATACTGTAGAAGAGGAAGCAAAAACTGTGTATATTTGCTGATGCTTCTGTTAAAACAATAGATCCTGTTGCCTACTTCAAAATGATAGGCATCAAAACACAATGCCACATAGCTAAACTTGTCACTTGAGTAATGGACATTGAACTCAAAGGCACGGAGTTGTAACCTGACAGAAAAAGTAATGTTATATCTACAATGAGACCAAACAATTTTATTTTACCAACAGAGTGCTAGGAATTAAGAGTTTTACCTGTCCAAAATACTGACACTGTGCACCACCTTACCACAATATTGCATACCACACACCAGGTAGGCCCCCCTGCTTTTATTCAAAAGCTTGAAAGCACTGCATTCAGTAATCTCCTGGTAGAAGCCTTTTTGACAAGTTAGAGATGCAGGATATATATATATATATATATATATATATATATGTATATATATATATATATATATATATATATATAAAGGCGTACCTCGGTTTACAAATTTAATGCGTTCACCAGGACGTTTCATATTGCGAAAATTTCATAAATCGAAATGCGAAACGTGGTTTCCCATAGGAGTGCATTGAAAACCAATTAATCCGTTCCGGAGGTCAGAAAAAAAAGTAAAAAAAAAATCTTTTATCTGTTCAAAACTCTTTATAAAGTGCACTTTAAAGGCATGGGGCCGGCGCTATAAACCTCCCAGGTGCAATGCATCTTGGAGAGACTTACTTCATATTGGGAAACAAATTCGTAAACCGAGGCATTATTTTCTATGGATTTTCATTCGTAAACCGAAAATTACGATAACCGAGGCATTCGTAAATTAAGGTACGCCTGTATATATATATATATATATATATGTAAAATGAAGCATCTTCTAGAAAATAAGCATAATGCAAACAATGTGCTCAAACACTGCATTTCTGCCAGATATTTAATGATGCATAAAAGTTTACACAGAAAGGTTGAGTTACTGCTTAAAGTCAGGAGGTTTTCTCTGCAAGTTCAGACATTTTAAACATTTAAAACATCTTTTTTTTATTGACATCTAAGAATGAAATTTGCCTTCATGGGAAAACCTTCAAAAATCCTTCACTGACTGAGTTACAGACCTATAAATCAAATGTATCCTTATACATCTATGGTCCTTAAAATGTTATTTATTATTGGGAGTTCCAGTGTGGATATTGGACAGCATATAAGCATATACAAAGCGGACATTTATAGTTTATTTCTAACATGTAATAAAGTAAATATACAAAGGCAGTAAATTTTAGCAATATAAATGTAATGAGCTCACTTTGACTACAGAACAGATGGTCAGTTGTGTAAAGAATATGAAAAAAAATGTTGAAATATCTAAAACAGCCATAAAGCACTGTCACTTCAACTGCTAGCTGGTATGTCATTACAGGATACAGTAGTGACGTAGCTATTAGCAGGTAGGACAAATGAAAACCAGACATCCAACACACCTGGAAGTGTGTTGTATGCTGAAGTTTTTTCTGAGACCACATAATGACATTAGGATTGGTGCCCCTGGGATTGGTATCATTAATCTTTTGCAGAGTGCATTTTTATATTCATTAGCTCTTCTATTTTTATTTTTTTTTTTCATTTTTTGCACACATTAATATCTGTGTTTTTGGCTATGAATATTTACAACCCCCAGAACATTACCTGAACGCAAAGGCGCTGTAGAATAAAAAAATGGTGACTGCAATTTTTTTCTCTCTTTTCATTTGAATTTTATTAAAGAGATTATAACAAATTTAACAACCTCACACTCTTTTGACTATAAAAGAACAAATCAACAGAGAAACACACATAAAAATTAAGGCATATTGTGCAGACCACGTTTTGCTTAGAAAATGCAGTATAAATAGTAGCAGTACAGTTAAGAACTCTACAAAGCATATCATCAGATTTCAATGACAAAGTAGTGTCACACTGAGCCCTACAGTGCCTATAAGGCCCCTGACACACTGATGACTGATTGGTTCCGCCTGTCAGTTTTTCAGGTGGACCCGATCGGACTGTCCATAGCTCT